ACCACTTGGGTACCCCTTGGGGCACACCCCAAGTATCTCACCCTAAGCCTTATAAACCCTTTCAAAACTTCCCACCAAATCAATGTGGGACAAGCCAATTTTCAACCTTAAGGAATTTCCACCGAAACTCCATTTCCATGGAGCTCACTTTGGCTTCAATTTCCCATTCACTCGGTAATGGTTTTGAGCAACCAAATATACCACGTGAATCACAATGCGGCATAGAACGCGTTACCACTTTGACCCGAGTAAATCGATACTCGGGGCCCACCTAAAAAATAGACCAAACCTGAGAAAAAATTCTGGTTTTACCCAGAATTTTTCCACCATTTCCAACACATTGTGCTTTACATACACAATGGAGATTAAACATGAAGGTCATGAGCATTTGCTTAATCTAACCTGGTGCTATCCCCAACTTCCTATTTTGAAGTGTGATGCCTGTAAAAGATCAATTGAAGGCATTGAATTTAGATGTAGCCAATGTGACTTTGCCCTCCATATAGTGTGTGCTTTCCTAGTCCTGACACCTCACTGAAAAATCAATCGCGCAGGCATGACTCACCCTCAAGTACCATCATGTTAAAGAGGAAGCAGATGAGTACTACTGTGGTTCTTGTGAGAAGGGGAGAGATCCAGAAACTGGGGTGTATTGCTGCAAGAAATGTGTCAACTTTGTCGCATATGTAAGTTGCGCTAGGGAGGCTGAACCATTCCCATTCATAGAGTTAGGTGGAACCCATGTATCGAAAGCCATGATAATCCTCTTACTCTCCTCGTAAAGAAATAGGACATCCATCGAAGGATTGATAACAAATGTTTTGAGTGTGCTTCTTTACAAATGTACTAAATGCAGCTACAACATTAACTTCTTAGAAACTAATTACCGTAAAGATGATAATTAATGTTTCCACCAAGGTCATATGTTAAATTTTTATTTTTATTTTTATTTTTTATCTTGAAGGATTAGGGCCGGCCCGCTTAGATAAGCAATGATGTCTATTGCATGTTTTAAAACATTGTTTAACTTCTACTATATATATATATATATATACACACACATCTGTTTTTATATATTTCTTTGGAAGTAAGTTATCTCACCTACTATACAACTTGGGTTGGGTTGAAGATCATGACGTTCATGGCATGACATGCCAAATTGACGCCTTTATTTTTAAACTTGTTTTCTTAAACTCATTATTTTATAAAATTTGAAATCTTGTTTTCTAATACTATTTTTTACAAAATATTAATTGATTTTGTGTTTTCTAAACACGAGTGTGTGCTAATTAAAATATGAATTCAATAAGTCTTATAATAAAGGGAAATTCTATACTATATATACACATTTGTTTACAATTTTTGTGACAGTTGGTTGTGAACTATTGTGATGTTAGTTGTGATTTATTATAATATTGATTATGACATTATTTTAGTTATAATTTAAGAAATCGTTGGTTATATACCTTATGTAGTGTTCAGTTATAATTTATTTATTTTAGTTATACGACTCTTATAAGATTAAGTTGTGATATTTGTAAGAATTAACTCTACAAATGTCATAACTTACCTATGCCATAGCATTACCTAGCTACAATATCAATAAAATGCAGGTTGTGTTTTCGTTTCCAATATTTGATCATACTCAGCCTCATCTGGAGTTAACTAATTTAATTGATTTTTTTAATCTAAAAAAGGCCAAAAAAAAAAAATAATATAACCACTTTTTAATTAGGGATATTTATCAATAAATCCCATCTTACAAATAAATACTTCAATTAGTCCCAAATTTTTTCTATTGATTTATTAAGTTTTATTAGTGAAGAGTTTCTTTCTGTGTGGTTTTATTTTTGATTTGATTTGATTAGAGCATCTCCAATAGAGCTGCCAAAGTTATAATTTGGCAAGAGTGACAAAAAAAAGGGTCTAAAAAAAAAAGGGTCTCAAATGGCCTCGCATTAAAAGGCAAGGTCATCGCTTGGATTGCCGCTGTTGTCACACGGAGGTGGATTGTCCTTCGACTTCCTCACAAAACTCAGAGGGTGAGGATGATCGCTATGGTTCTTAGCCTTAAACTTGAAATTTAGATACTTAGCAAGGTCACAAATGCAATCAGGATGCAAACCAACTTCACAATCTGCGCAACAATAGAACCAATGTTTTAGGTTCATTTCCTTCTCACAAATCTTACAACAGTACTCTTTGGCAAGAGGACGATAGGTTAGCACGAGGGCATGTTTGTCATATCTTTGCTTAACTGTACGCGGCAGAGAAGCACAACCAATGTGGAGGTTGAAATTGCAGTGTCTGCCACTGCATCGGAGTGCATACCCTCCAAATTCTTTTTGATGGGCATTGCAACGAGCACGTCCTGGGTCTTTGTCAAAAGCCAGGACGTGCTCATGTGCATCGTGTCGGATTGTGAGTGGAAATGAAGCACACTTAACATCAATGTTAAAGTTGTCGCATTCGCCACACTGGTAAGCGAAAGTGTTGTAGAGAGCATCGCAGGCGTTGTAGGAGATACAGCAGCTAGTGAAGAGATTGAGGGTGTGTTTTGGGTGAAGTGGATGTTGTATTTTGCTTGGAAGATCAGCACTGTATTTGTGGAGAAGGAAGTCACAGTCGGACTCAGAGCAACCATAGTAAGGAGCTGAGATGAGTTCGAAGAGGGTTGTAGGTGTGTTTTCAGTGTTCTTTAATTCGTTCGAGATTTGTTCTTTGTTTCTCCCAGAATAGACCTCGAAGAGGGTTAATGGGTGATCATGATGGATCTTCTCGAGCGCAGTTGGTTTGTTGTTGTCTTTACGGCTGAGTTGTTGTAAAAGATGGTTTGCTAGATTTACTGAGGAATCGGCCATGGGTAAGCAGACTGGATCGGATGGTTCTGGTTCATCGCCTTCATTTTTTTCATCTCAGAAACCAAAAATTTAAGAATTACAAAATGTAATAAAAAAGTCATGAATTGAGTAATCATGGAATAAGAAGAAGAACATGAAAAAGTTGAAATTGATATATTCATCAATTTCTTCATTTGCACTCCTTTCATCCCTGAAAAAAATAATAATAATAATAAAAAAGTCAAGAACAAAAATGCAATAAAAAAGCATGAATTGTGTAACTCAATGAAACTAAGGATATGTAAAATTTAAAAATGACATACGCATACTCATCAATTTCTTCTTCTTTTGTGCAATTAACATGGGCTGCATCCTGCACAACTATAAACACAATTATTTTGGTTCACAACCTCAGAGCAGATATCACAGTAGAGCTTGAACTTGGAAAATTCTGAAAAGCATAAGACAGAGTAAGAGGGTGGTTGTGAGAGCTATGTGTGACACTGTTGAGCAATGAAGCACACTCGTGGTGCACCCAATAGTAGCATGGGGTGCATTGGTAGGAAATGTCCGCATAATCATGTGGTTTGCCACAGGCATCGCAAGAGAACAATGCTTGCTTCAATTGGAGAGTTAGAGGGTGGTTGTGACCAATGTGTTCAATGGTGTTTGGCAATGTAGCGCATTGAATGTTGAGTTTGGACTCGCAGAGAGAACAGTAGTAGAGTAAATTGCCCCAATTTTTGAAGCAAGAATTGTTGGAAAATTTATAAAGAGGTAGTTGTGAATTGAAATAGACTTCAATTTGAATGAAATGGTGCAAACCTTTCATGGTGTTTCTTTATTTTAAAGGAAGGGTTATGTCCATTCTTCACATATTTTCTATTCAAATTGAATAGGTGCCAACAAAGCCTATATAAAGGCAGTCCCATTCCAATTTTGATTGATTCCAAAAATTTATGTTCCTTGCCTTCATTTTGCTCTCTTGCGTCCTTTATTCTTCATTTTAGTTTTAGAATAAATATTCAGAGAGTTAGAACACAGGTTTGGTTCGCCGAACAATTTGTTTTAAAGTGCTACTACAAATTGGTTAAGATCATTGTATCCTGGGAGATAGACGCCACTCAACCGTAAGCACCGTAGCGGGGCGAATCTGTCTTAAGGACAGAGAGTGTCACACACTCGACTTGATCTTTTAAATATTTATTCGGTCAATAAAATAAATTATGTAAGTAATTTATTTATTTTTGTTTGATTTGTTTCAAGTTATTTATTTTACACAGAAGATTGGTTCCAAAATTTTTTTAAGACAGATTCGAATTATTCTGCTGTTACAGAATTTTTTCGTTTGTTCCTTTTCTTTTTCTTCTTTTAAGAAAATATTTCTGTGGATTTACAAAATAATATTCTGGTTAGAAAACAAATAGTGATTATATGCTATTTGACAGATAGTAGTAATATACTGTCTATTTCTTTGACAACTAGTAGTACGATACTGGTGTAATTAACATTCAGAATTATATTTTGTGAAATTTTTTCAAAAATTAATTTGGTTTTAGAATTAATTTTTGAGTTTTCATTACTTAAAAATTCTGTTTAGTATTTAAATTATTGAAGTTGTTACAGAAATTAATTTTCTGTGTGAAATTAATTTGGTTAAATAAAATTTTATTTTATTTCCAGATTATAATGAAAAATAAAAGTTATTTTCTATTTCTTTATTTTCAGAAGTTAATTTCCTGTGGGAATTAATTTGGTTGAAATAAAATTTTATTTTATTTCTAAATTAATTGAAAAATAAAAGTTATTTTTCATAGTTTCTTTTATTTGACAGAATATTCGTTGAATTATTTCCTGTGTGGAATTAATTTGTTTAAATAAAATTTTATTTTATTTTCAAATTAATTGGAAAATAAAAGTTACATTCTTGTTTCTTTTATTTTTACAGAATTTCATTTTGTGAATTTGGTTTAATTTTCTGTGTAGTGTAAATTCTAATTATAATTTTGTTTTATAAATTAGAATTGATGGCTACTGAAACTAATGCTCAAACAAGTACTACTGTGGTGGCTGCAATGACGCCAACTCCCTCTCCTGTTGTAACAGTACTGGTAAATTACGGTGAAAAGCCAGAGAAGTTCTCAGGAACTGACTTTAAAAGATAGGAACATAAAATGTTGTTCTATCTTACAAATCTGAACCTGGCTCGTTTTCTCCGTGAAGATGCTCCTATCTTGAAAGAGGATGAAACCGACCGGCAAATGGTTGCTGCGGTTGATGCCTGGAAACATGCCGATTTCCTTTGCCGGAACTACATCTTGAACGGACTTAACAACACATTATACAACGTCTACATTCTTATCAAGACAGCAAAGGAACTTTGGGAGTCTTTGGAGAAAAAATACAAAACGGAAGATGCCGGCTCAAAAAATTTGTGGTAGGCAGATTCCTGGATTTTGTAATTGTTGATTCAAATACTGTGATCAGCCAAGTTCAAGATTTCCAACTCATTCTGCATGACATTCACGCAGAAGGCAAGTCTCTCAGTGAATCCTTCCAAGTTGTAGCCTTAATTGAAAAATTACCAAAAGGCTGGAAGGAATTCAAGAACTACCTCAAACACAAGCGCAAAGAAATTTCTATGGAAGAATTAATTGTGCGTTTGAGGATTGAGGAGGACAACCGTAATTCTGAAAAATGAGCTGGTAAGCATCCTATGGAGTCTAAGGCAAATGTAGTGGAACGTGCTTCAAAAACCAAGAAACCAAAGTCTTCTGGAGAAAGTTCATCACAAGGCTCTGAAGGGGGAGAAAATAAAAAGTACAAGTTTAATGTCAAATGTTACATCTGTGACAAAGAGGGACATCAGGCCAAAGATTACCGTAGCAAAGGCAAAAGCAAAAGAAGAACAAGCAAGAAGCCTGCTCAAGCCCATATGACAGAAGTAGACAATATTTCTAATGGTATAGATGATATCAATCTTTCTGCAGTTGTTTCCAAGGCAAATCTTGTTGGAAATCCCAAAGAATGGTGGGTGGACACTGGTGCTACTCGCCATATTTGTGCCGACAAAAAGATGTTCACATCTTATTCTACAGTGGACAATGGTGAACAACTTTTTATGGGCAACTCCTCAGCTTCCAAAGTTGAAGGATAAGGAAAGATTGTACTCAAGATAACATTTGGAAAGGAACTCACTCTCAACAATGTGCTGCATGTACCGGATATTCGCAAGAATCTTGTTTCCGGATCTCTGTTGAATAAGAATGGGTTTAGGCTAGTATTTGAGAGTGATAAATTTATACTAACTAAGAATAGGATGTATGTAGGAAAATGTTACATGTCTGATGGCCTTTTCAAGTTAAATGTAATGACCGTTATACCCTCAGTTATTAATAATAATACATCTTCTTCTTACTTGCTTGAGTCTTCAAATTTATGGCATGGTAGACTAGGACATGTTAATTATGGATCTTTGCGTAGATTAATTAATATGGAATGTTTACCTAAATTTGACATTGATTTAAATCATAAATGTGAAATTTGCATTGAGGCAAAATTATCTAAAGCTCATTTTCATTCAATTAAAAGAAGTGCGGAACCACTTGAATTAATTCATAGTGACATTTGTGATTTTAAATCAATTCAAACTAGAGGTGGGAAAAAGTATTTTATCACTTTTATAGATGACTATACTAGATATAGTTATGTTTATTTAATTCGAACCAAGGATGAAACTTTAGAAACTTTCATTCAATATAAGAATGAAGTTGAAAATCAACTTGGTAAGAAAATCAAGAAACTTAAAAGTGATAGATGTGGTGAATATAAATCACCTTTTAGTGAGTTTTGTAAAGAACATGGAATAATTCATCAAACCGTCACTCCTTACTCATCTCAGCAAAATGGAATTGCTGAAAGGAAAAATAGGACTTTAAAAGAAATGATGAATGCCATGTTAATAAGTTCTGGATTACCTCAAAACTTGTGGGGGGAAGCAATACTTTCTGTTAATTGTATTTTAAATAAGGTACCTCGAAAGAAAGTGAATCAAACACCTTATGAATTGTGGCATGAAAGAGTACCATCCTACAAATACTTAAAAGTGTGGGAGTGCTTGGCTAAAGTGGCTATACCTAGTCCTAAAAAGACTAAGATAGGGCCGAAGATCATTGATTGCTTTTTCATTGGTTATGCCAAGAATAGTAGTGCATATCGATTTTTGATTCATAAATCAGAATATTCCGAAATACATGTAAATACTATTATTGAATCTCGGAATGCATATTTCTTTGAACATGTATTTCCAAATAAGACTGGACAAGAGACTAGTAATAATAAAAGATCTCATGATGCCATTACTAGTCAAGATCAAGAACAAGAGTTAGATCAAAATGAGAAAGAGGAACATAGGCGTAGTAAACGTGCTAGAACCTCAAAATCTTTTGGTCTAGATTTTCTAACATATTTGTTAGAAAATGAGCCTTTAACTTTTAAAGAGGCTATGTCCAGTCTTGAAGCTTCTTTATGGAAAGAAGCTGTCAACAGTGAAGTTGAATCCATCTTGCAAAATCACACTTGGGAATTAGTGGACTTGCCACCAGGTTGTAAACCTCTTGGGTACAAGTGGATTTTCAAAAGGAAAATGAAAGCGGATGGATCAATTGATAAATACAAGGCAAGACTTGTGGTCAAAGGTTTTAGACAAAAAGAAGATCTTGATTACTTTGACACATACTCACCGGTTACTAGAATAACATCCATTAGAATGCTAATTGCCATTGCATCTCTATACAATCTAGAAATTCATCAAATGGATGTAAAAACCGCTTTCTTAAATGGTGAGTTACATGAAGAAATTTACATGGAACAACCAGAAGGTTTTTCTGTTCCAGAAAAAGAAAAGAAAGTGTGTAAATTGGTTAAATCATTATATGGTTTAAAACAAGCGCCAAAGCAATGGCATGAGAAATTTGACAAGGCAATGATGTCAAATGGATTTAAAATTAATGAGTGTGACAAATGTGTTTACATTAAAAACATAGACAAAGGTTATGTC